CATTGAAAATTTCAAGTCGTAGATGGGTAGTTTGCTTTGTTTATGCAGATAACGTTTTGATTGGTCAATCAGCCTGAAGTCACATGTCGTGTCCACGTAAATATCTTGCCTCAATAATATAGTTTCCCAATACCCATGAGAAATGCACAGAAGAATTATGGAAATCTCGAAACCGCTGAATAACTTATCATAATATCAGCAGTGATGTAATAGAGTTATTCAGCGGTTTCGAGATTTCCATAATGAGATAATTAAAAAATGCTGAGTTGGGCAAGATTAGGCTGCACGTTACGAGTGACAATATGCAATACTACAAAAACATTAATTGTCATGATTTTCAATGATTTGTCTTGTTCAGTTGTATGCCTGGCTAAGCTCAGTTTACTTTATTTAGATGTATGCGGATCTGGTTCACTGATCAGCTGAAGGATCACATTTTCCCATTATTATGATGCAATTCGTGTCATGATTAATTATTAATGAATTATTAATTAATTAAACTTCCTTGCCCGATTGTTAGCACAACCAAGCTTGGCTGAACTTTGGATTAAAACCTTTTTTCATTTCTTGGATATGCAACTTCAGCAACTGGTAATGGAGAATTTTTATGATTCAAATTGATGGCATTACAAAAAAAGTAATATAAAATGTGTTATTCCATCATTTTTAACTTGCACAATCATGATTTTAATGCGAAAAAATTCAATAAATATCATGGAATTATTATTAAGTGTCAAAACAAATGGTACTACCAATTGTCATGAAATTGCTATAAATTTCTTTAATCTAGGTCTATAAGACCTGGGAATGTGAGAGTAATAAATTTACAAGAAATTGTAACAATTTTGCAATAATTTCATTTGTCTTCTCATTCAATGTGATTCCTTTCCAACAATTTTGACTCAGTTTCAGGATAATCATTTGATTTCTAAATTTTTCTGTCAAATTCAATGAATAAGTAAATTAATGTGACCTTGAGATTTCTTGTTAAAAAGTGAACACTGAATCTGTGACTCTCTCTTTCTAAATATACAAAATGGGTCACTTGGATGTTGATGTTAGGGGCAATTCTCTTTCTAAATATACAAAATGGGTCACTTGGATGTCGATTTTAGGGGCAACTCTCTTTCTAAATATACAAAATGGGTCACTTGGATGTAGATTTTAGGGGCAACTCTCTTTCTAAATACGAGGGGTGATCAATAAGTAATGGACGCTTTTTTACACAGATACTTTTTATAGACCAATCCCTTTGATTTTCCTACCAGTGATACATCATTCAATTATCTATCATTTCTGAGGATTTGAAGACAAAATATAAAATACATGTTGATATATCTTTATTTCCGTGAAGGAGGTACAGGTACCCCGGGACCGACATTTACGTCACATATTCAGTTTTCAGTCAGTTTGGCAAATTTCAGTTAGATTTAAACTTTTCATATGCAACATGTGTTGTGTTGTTTGAAATACTTTGCTGACTGTTCAACACATTAACAGAAAGTATTGTGATGTCAGAGTATTGTATGGAAGGGGTTTGCAGGTCAATTTGAGAAAGCACTGTGGAAGAAAGGGGTGGTGAGAGAAGGGTACACCCTACTCCATATAGACAATGCACCTGCCCACAGATCTCAAAATGTTCAGAAAACAATATCCCTGGACCTCAAAATTGAGCCCTTGGCCAATGCACCATATTGTCCAGATCTGCTCACATGTGAATTATTTATTTCTATACTTCTTATTGCTATAGAGAACATCCTCCTTAGCAGGTGTCCAGAAAGGATGCCTGTTTATTGATATTGATGAAATAAAACAACCCGTGCAACTGCATCTTGCTACCATGTCAGAGAATGGATTCAGCCTTGTCTCACAATCTTGAATTAAGAGAATGAGGAATTGTGTACATGTAGCACTTGATGGAACCTATGTAGAGGGCCCTGTGGAATAAATGTGGCATGAATACCACATAGTGATGATAAAATATTCAAAATCAACTATGGCATAACAAAATGGGGTAATTCATGACCATAATGGTTTGTTTTGTACAGCCTGCATTCAACTGAATTGCAATTGCATGTTAAACAAGCTAAAATAGCTTCAGAATGTTTGACGTAAATGTCGGTCCCGGGGTACCCATACATCCTTCATGGGATTAAAGATATATCAAAAGATATTACATGTTTTGTTTTCAAATCTTCAGAGTTGATAGATAATTGAATGATGTATCACTGGTAAGAAAATCGAAGGGATTGGTCTATAAAAAGCATCTCTGTAAAAAAGCGTCCATTACTTATTGATCACCCCTCGTATACACAATGGGTCACTTGGGGGTAGATTTTAGGGGCAAATCATTTGACCCCTTCTTTTTAAATAAACAAAATGGGACACTTGGATGTTGATTTTTGGGGCAAATCATCTGACAACCTCTTTCTAAATATACAAAATGGGTCACTCTGATGTAGATTTTAGGGGCAATTCTCTTTCTAATTATACAAAATGGGTCACTTGGGGGTAGATTTTAGGGGCATCTCTCTAAATATACAAAATGGCTCACTTGGATGTTGATTTTAGGGGCAAATCATTTGATCCCTTCTTTCTAAATATACAAAATGGGTCACTTGGATGTAGATTTTAGGGGCAAATCATTTGATCCCCTCTTTCTAAATATACAAAATGGGTCCCAGAAAAAAAAATTGGGCCCAAAAAAAAATTTGGGCGAATTTTTGATCATTATTGGACCTTTTAAGGCCTTATTTTTTAATTTCAGGCCAAATTTTGAAGAAAATGGGCCTTAAAATTTCTAAATTTGGCGCGGAATTTTTTTTCTCTGACCTGAAATTTGCTCCCCCCACTTGTTGGTTCCCAGATCCGCCCCTGAACTGTCTTTGTGAAAGTTATTAACTTGTCATCTCCTCTATGATTGTAAAGTGATAATGGAACTGATAGTAGTCATTAAAAACTGGTTACCAGAGGAATTGACAGGACTTTGTACAAAACAGAATATTTTAATAGGACCAGTATGTATAAATGACAGAACAATTATCCTGACAAATATATGGAGTATATTTAAAAGATATGTGTACCTATGCAAATACTCAATGTTAAGACCTACCTTTAAAGGATTTAAAGCAAATGTAATATCTTATTGTAATATTGATAAGCAAATAGGCAGAGAAAAAAGGTGGGAAATTATGGGTACTAGATTAGATTAGACTAGTGTGGTTAGATGCCTTAAAAAAACGAATATGATGGAAAATTGTGTGATTTCTATGATATTATGAATATTGTATAAGTTAATGTAACTGCTTTCAAATGTTTTCTATGAATAAAAAAGTAATAAAAAAAATAAAAAAAACTATAAAAAAATGATAAAATAAAAGCTCCATCCCATTACTACTTTCAAAAAGAAAATATTAGAACCAGATAATTAACTTTCCTTAGCCTAATGAATGTTTCACTTATTGAGATTCACAGAAAATATCAGAAAGAACACAATCAACCAAAAGTGTGTTTAAATAAAGAAATTCCAAAATGATTGTAGAATCTCATGAATGGGCAGATTTCACACTCTGTCAGACCCAACTGGGATATAATTGAACTTAATGGAATCATGCGAAGAAAAACTTAATGTGTGGCATATTCCAAGAAAATCGAATAAAAGAGCCTGTCTTCATACTTCAGGCCTTTATAATTACAAGGCATCTTTATAGTCCAATACCAATATATGGAATCTAAATAGTCCATGCACATACCAAGGGAATATTCCAATATTAGATTTGGGTTTTTGGGGTCTGTACACTAAAATGTCATTGGAAGACAAGGGAGAGTTTGAACCACAAAGACTCAGTATAACTTTTATATATAACTTTTAGATTGCATATCTTGATACACTGTATCTCTATGCAGATCATTTTCCATTAATAATGAGGTATTAGTTGAATACAATTAGTCAATAAGTAAAAATATATATTAGTTTTTCTTCTAGATCCAAAATTGAAAGTTTTGTCATGCTCGGATGGCATTACGCCTCCTGAAATATTCAAGAGCTTTATAAAAGCCACTTTCTAGTTTATTGTTTTAAAGTGATTACAATGTAAAGCACCCATTTGATGTAAATTCTCCCCTGAGGACTTATTTTTTGTGGCGTAACAAAGACTGTAGACAGCTTGTCTCTAGTTCATTGATATAGCACCATCTTTACCAAATCTATTTCTACGTTTTATAGGACTTTTATTCTTTTTGTAATTCGCTTGTGTTTTTCTTGAAAAGTGCTTTTACTTACTACTATTTTAGGTGGTTTATTTGTTTGAACCAACGATAACATTAGTCTTAATACTGCTAATGATACTACTTACTAGAATGTCTATGGTTTCACCATGGTCTTTGGTAGGTTTACACAGACCTCTACATTCCAACGTGAGAGAAAATAAACTTCTTGGGAGATCATCTGAAAATGGGCCAGTAGCTTTAGATTTAGTGATGTACTTGGTTAGATATGCATTATTATATAGCAGAAGCATAAGCTGAAGTCTGTGAATGTAAAATATGTTTCCCAAGAGGTGAATATATTGTGAACCTTTCCTGAAACATGTCTCTTGAAATTAGATTTTTTATGCTCTGGTCGGGTTAAAAAAAATTAACTTTAGAGTTGATGACATTTTTATTCCCCTGTTTCAAGTCTTGTCTGGCTTTTAGAAGCAAAAACATCAAGGTATAAGACTCTGTGTTCTTAAGTGCAGGTTGTAATTACATTTATTTAGTGCGTTCTCACTTTTTTGCAGGAGCACTGAAATATTTTATCAAATTGTTATCTTGGGATCACTTTGCCTGAACAAATAAATATTTAATTAATTTACCATGTTTTCATTATTCAGGCCATTGCTTGAGATTAATCCTGTTTCTGTATTTTTAAGAGTATTTGTGATGGGTGCGTTGATATAATGTTATTATGTAAATGAAGCGAAGCTATGGGTTAACTTTATGGCCGTTATGTTTTGCAGGCTGTCAATTGGCTTATCCCATCGCTGCTGCGTGCTGATTGGCTGTTTTATTAGCGTATGGCGTAGGTGCAGTGCGGCTTATTTGGAGATGTCTAATGGAGCTCTTTGACTGATGTATTTTCTAGTAGATTATATCAGTTGTATATTGGATTGAAATAAGAAGCTATTGTGGATTATATAAATGAATTACCATAGCTAGATGGAATACTACTTGCTATGGATATGTAAACTGCAGGATTCCATAGGCTGACTTATTCAGGGACATTGAACACTTATCATATAAATTCCCAGGTCTATCAACATGTCTGATAACAGTGAGAATGGAGTAGAGAGTGACACTGAGAATTCCTCTGTATGCCGAGATTTCTTGCGTAATGTCTGTCGCAGAGGTAAACGTTGTAAGTACCGGCACCCTGAAAACAAAAACTCAACCACTCTAAGCAAAGTAGCAGAGCTTACATTTTGTCATGACTACCAAAACACTGGCTGTAGACGTGTCTCGTGTAAGTTTCTTCATTGTACACGGGAAGAGGAGGAGTATTACAAACAGACTGGTCAACTTCCTGTTCGCCTGCAGCAAGCGGCCGCATTGGGCATTGGTATAGTACCCACGGAGAACGCACCAGCCCCTGGGGAGGTCCCCATATGTAAAGACTACTTAAAAGGCGAATGCAAACGTGGTGTTAGGTGCAAATACAGACATTTGAAATTGGCGGAGTATGAATATGAACTGCGTAGAAAAGATCGCGTAGCTAATAGACTCCCGCCATTGAACAGTAGGTTTGATACTTTTAATGAAGACTTAGAGGCTAAGATTGAGAGACTCGATAGACTAGATAGATTTGAACAGGACTTTTTAACATTAAAACGTAAGCGTATTGAATTGGATGAGTATGATCTTTATGACCGCTATGCTAGCCCACCGAACCTTCGTTCTCTAACAGACTACCAGCTTTTGGAAGAAGAGAATCTAATGTTGAGACGAAAAATTGATGACTTAAAGAAGCAAGTGTCTGACCTAACTGCCACGAATGACGTGCTGTTGGAACAAAATGCACGATATCGCACGAGCAAAGCTAATCAGTTATTGCAGGGTCTACAGGTCCAATCAGTGTCTGTACCTCAGCCCCCTACTGTTACTATGGTAACGGTATGCGAGGCTGTTACCCCCACTGTGGCCCCGGCCCCTGTGGTACAGCGTAGTGGTGGCCCACAGCCCCTCAGTGTACTAAACAGTCAACTTCCGCACGTTACCTTGACAACCCCTGACTTGGCTCAACAGACTTCGCTACAACAGCATCTTGCTCAAGAGCTGAACCAGCAGCAGGCCGGCGCTATCAACGTCACTGCTATTAACCCACCTCCCTGCTCTATAAGTGGATCCATACCCCCTGTGTCAGTATCTATGGCACAGCAGATTGCTACTGTCTCAATCGCACCTGTGTCTATGTCTCAGAATATGCCACGGCAAAACATGGCCCAGGCTATCAATTGTAGCATGCCCAGTCGTGGGATTAACTGTAGCGTGCCTAGCAGTGTCATAGCAGCAACTTATGCCATGGACCCTATAACATCACACAGTCTTACTAACATGAGAACTGAATATTCCAGGACTTAATCTTCTATACTGTCATGAGACACCACATATATGACACACCCTGTACTGTATAAATTCTGCTCAATTTGAGTGCTAAAACAAAATCCAATTTCCCCAATATTAGTAATAAGAGAGAATTTCCTTATGAGTTTAAAAAGAGCTTTTTATTGGAATTTTTTCTTGTAATGAGGATAATTCCGCTAAAGCTTTAGAGTGAATATTATTGCCAGTGAATAGCACTTCGTGATAGCGAATACATAATTGGATACTTAATTCCACAAATTGGGATATGAGGCGAACTGTTTCATTGAAAAGTTGATTAATCATCTTGCTGAAAGATATTATGATAGAAGCCACGTCTTGGGAATAAATGTGCAACTATATTAAGCTCTATTCATCAATTCAGGATGATTCTGTGTTACATTCATAATCTTATTCTGTTCTATTGGGAGATGTGAAACTAATTGAAACTTATAGGGTCACTATTATCTGACCATATCATTACTTCTAAGGGATTAAATTGTTAATTAAGTCGGGCAGAGAGGGATGACTTTGGGATTGCTTTGTACATGATGTCAGTCTGTAAACCTTTGCAAAGACCCAAGCAGTCTCCACATGACCTACCTGAATTAGCCAGATTACACATTCTACCTTGTTGACCTTAATTAGTTACATTTCTTATTCCACACTGATTACCTTAATTGTTCAAATTACTTATTCTATCTGTCTACATGTACCTCACCATTCTGAGCAATTTTCAAGTGATTTTGGCCTTTTTTGGGCCAAAGTTGTCAAAAGTGAAACCCCCTGGAATTTTTCAAAAAAGTGAAATCCCTTGGCAAATCCTTTCTTGGTCGTGGTTGAAATTTTTATATTATACTTGGAAGGAAATCATATTTAATGTACTATTGCAGTGGTTTAATGTATCACAAAAGGGTCCACTTTATATGAGAATGAAGCAGTCAAAAACCTGACAAATGTGAGCATAAAACATTACTCTGCTGTTTGTTAGAGTTAGGGGATTATGATGTCTCACAGTTTATAATAGAATAACATGAAGTTATGCAGTTCAGATTATGTTGAGAGTAACTTGATCTTTTTAAAATTCATTTCTTGGAACTGATACTATCAAATTATTATCCCACCGAACGAGGTTCAAGGGGGATATGGGAAAGCCATCCATTCATTTGTCCGGGTGATAACACAAATACTGTTTGACGGTTTTGATTCAAATTTTATAGGCTTATGTCTTATGGGGGTAGAACCTCTGTTTTAAAAGGAATTTTGAATATGGCCACTCAATTCAAAATTGGTGCCATTTTTCGTAAAAATGCAATCCGTGATATCTCAAATACCAGTTCACAGGTTTGGATCAAATTTTATATGTTGATACCTAGGGACAAAGAGGCTCAGTTCAAGAAGAGATTTTTAGTATGGCTGTTAAATTTCAAAATGGCTGCCATTTTTTGTACAAAAAACATAATTTTTGATAACTCAAATACCATGTACCAGTAGACAGATTTGGTTGAAATTTTATGCTGGTGCCAAGGGACAAAGGAGTTTTGCTCAAGAAAATATTTTCAAGATGGCTGCTGAATTTCAAAATGGCAGTCATTTTTCATAAAAGAACGTAATCTTTGATAACTCAAATACCAGTAGAAGGATTTCATTCAAAGTTTATATGCTGATGCCTAGGAACAGAGGAGCTTTGTTCAAGAAGATTTTCAAGATGGCCACTTTTTATCAAAACGTGTTTTGTTCGGTTGGATTTGCTACTCCGTAGAGTTGCTGTTTTCTAGTTTAATTATATACTGATTTGTATCAATACAATATTGATTTGTCCTGTTTGTCAGCCAAGGCCTAAACTGGCTGACAAAATTTTTCTTGACAACATTGATGAAATGAGTTGATCTTTACACCACACTCTTGCTGCTTTTAGAATCCGTTGATGACAATTAGGCTCTCGAAATCACAAATCCACCTCATTTATGTTCGTGCGTTTTTTTGTGTTTTTGGGTGTACAGTGACAATGCACAGATGTTTTCAAAACTAATTGAAAAGTTGCAATTGTGATGTCAGTGGGGAATAGTTCAAATATATATTCCCGCTTTTTTACATTTGGGGGAATATAACATTTGAAGGGGAATAGTAATTCTATTTTACGACACTTGTATTGACCAATCAGGATTAGTATTACATATTGGATATATGATAATATCAACTATCATGACTGAAATAGAGCACATTTACAACTATCATTACTGAAATTTTGACTTTGAGACAGGGGAGATGCAAAACTACCCACCCACATGTTTTTACAGAAATTTGTCCTGATTTCAATTTTTGTTGCATCAATATGTTGCCATTTACGACACAATTAACCCCTTTAAAGGAATAAGTAATTCCTTTTAGATAAAGTGGAAAACAATATTTCCCATGTTATTTTCCCAGCTAATTTTGGTCATCCATAATGGATATCTTTAAAACCCCTCAAGGAATTACTTATTACAAAAATTGAAAAAGCAGGGGAGGAAGGGGTTGAAAATTAGGACAAAAAATGATGTCATCTTACCCCTGATTGTCATCTAACCCCTGATTGTCATCTTACCCTTGATTGTCATTTTACCCCTGATTTTCAACTAAACCCTGATTGTCATCTTACCCTTGATTGTCATCTTACCCCTGATTGTCATCTAACCCCTGATTGTCATCTTACCCTTGATTGTCATCTTACCCCTGATTTTCAACTAAACCCTGATTGTCATCTTACCCTTGATTGTCATCTTACCTTTGATTGTCATCTTACCCCTGATTGTCATCTTACCCCCGATTGTCATCTTACCCATGATTGTCATCTTACTCCTGATTGTCACCTAGTAGATGTCACCTAGTGGTGGAACTGTTCTGGGTAATTCTGTACATGAATAAGTCTGGGTCAGGTGCTTATTACTGCATTATTATGTTTAATGTTGTATTTTATTTATCAGGAAAATCCAAGATGTGATTTTGCATTTGTGTATTTATTATTTAGAGGTTATGTCACTATCGTGGCATATATGCCCGAGGTCTCAGTGATATATGGCCCGACCTTGGGAGGGACATTGATCTCTGAGAACCGAGGGCATATGTGCAACGATAGTGACATAAACGATTTATAACATACCTATAATGATGTAGACTGGTCAGAGAGTACCATTTTCTTAAAGAATTGACAAACAAATGGTTTGAAAATGATTGAAATGAGTTTAGAAAAATTGCTCGCGCAGTTTTATCTTCGATTGATTGGTTATGACGTCAGCGCCTTGACCAATCAGAAAGTTAGCGGGCGCGGGCTTTTCAAAACTTATATTGGCCCGCCGTATTGTGTACACTTTGCACTGTACATCATCATAGGTATGTTATAAAACTCATATACAATATATGTACTGCATTGGCTAACTGCATGAAATGTGCAGTATTGTAATGCACATCTAATTACAGGGTGACCCAAAAAAGAGAACCCTCCAAAAATGAAATAATTTCTTTAATACACATGTAATCAGCTTCATTTTCCATATAGAGAAACTACAATCTATGGATAACAATATGAGACCAAATTTGTTACAAAACATTCTTGTTATGGTCAATAAAAATTTGGTTGATAGGATAGGTATTTAAGAAATTATTACAATTTTAGAGGGTTGTTTTTTGGATCTCTGTATATGAAACATGCTATGAAATAATAAGATGCACTTCAAAAAACTTGCCAAATTAGTATTTTGTCTTTGTCCATATTTCTGTGCACAGTTGGCCTTTGTTGGTGTTTGTGTTACAATTTTAGGATGTGTATATTTGTATTTAGTTCCATTTGGCTTTGGGTACAATTTGCTATTAGGTGTTAAGAAATGAACTTGAACTTAATCACTTCTAACATTCGTTTTTTGCAATGGCCATATATGGTAATACAAGAGAAGTGAGCTCTACAATTCAGACTTCTTGATTTATATGATTAGTTTGAAAATCAGGAACCTGCTAAATCGTGTGCTTAGATGAATAACAATGTGAAGAAAGATGTGAGTTAACCAGACAGAGTTCTTAACATTGTTATGGTACACTGGTTTGTTTAACATCTTAAAATTAGCAAGTATAACAATTATAATTTTTATTTAAATGTGAGTGTCAAAAACGATGTTATTGTCAAGAAGGCCATTAAAATGGACATTTACATGTTATGATGCATTTAGATAATGTAAAAATGATGTAAATTTAATATATGAAAAAGAATCTGTGGGATGGCAACCTAGTGAACAAGTTATGATGATACATGATGTATGGTAATTAATATAAGATACATGTACTGTAAAACCTGTCTTATCTTTGCCTCTTGTGCAGGGCTTAAAAGTGTTCACATAGAGAGAGGTGATTAGATAAAACAGCCCCCAAACTGCCAAAAATGTTCACATAGAGAGAGGTGATTATATAAAGCAGCCCCCAAACTGCCAAAAGTGTTTACATAGAGAGAGGTGATTAGATATACAGGTTTCACTGTTCTTACTGAATCTACAAAAGACCTTTGAAGTTAGAGAATGGAGTATCTGTTTCAACAAAAACTGAAAACATTTTAGTAATTGAATATGCTGTTAATGTATGAAATACTCTAGACACCCTTGTCATATGGAGGTGTTGGAAATATTGATGGCCCCACTGCTGTCATGACAAACAACAGTCATTATGTTTTGATTATAATTTCCAGAGATGATTGACATTTTGAACATGTCTATTGCTTTATCATTAAATGTCAGATTGTAATTAGTTGATATTTGTTCAGTTGGAGCATACAAACATGCAACAAGTTGTGAATATAAATAAAAATAAATATGCCATGTAAATGTACGCATGAGAACCTTATTTGTTGGTTTTAGCAGCCTTCCTTTATCTATATACCTATATACATGTATGTAATATTGCAGACATATCTAGAGGTAAACTGGCTAAATTGTATACTCCCAATATTTGATTACATATCAAAGCAATAGAGAATTTGCAGATGAAGACCAAACTTCTAAATGTTAACTAATAATATATATTAATATACGTAGAAAGTGAACAAACTTTTACAAAATGTTTCAATGATCTCACAATAAATAAAAATTGATCAAATGCAGGATTTAGAAGAAAAGTACATATTTGACATCTTTGAGCCATAACATATGAGTTTTCTTGCAGTAACATTCCTTGATTTCACTTCACTTTACATATTGGATGAGTGCACATGTTATTTTGGAATCTGTGGAGAACAACATACATAGGATGGTGTATATATTGATGTGTCGGCTGTGCATCACTAGAAATAAACAAGCAACATAATGCAATGAATACTACTTCTATTAATTCCTTTAGTGTTCATTAATTTGATCCAAGCAAACATGACTTTATACAATTCCAAAAATTCCGTAAACATATCAACAATTTGGAAATCTCTGAGCTCTCCTAAAAGTAGCTAAATATGAAACATTCCATTTTTATTGGCATGAAAGCTTTTGTTAAGTGAAAGGATGAAACATAACATACATAGCATGATGATTCCATTAACATCATCTACAAAAAATACTTCCAAAAATATGAGTGACAAAAACAATAGATCATATCGACTGCTTTGTTGAAACATGAACCATGTACTGGGATCAGTTTTGTTTTGAAAATGTCAACATGATCTGAACTTTTCTTCATGTGAAGGTGGATCTTATTATTAATAGGTTTTAGGGATCTTATATTTTCACACTTGACTTGAGCATCTTTCCCTGAAACTAACAGGCTAGAATAATTTGATTATACTTAAATAAATTGTCATCTAGTTTTCAAAATGAACAATATTTTATTCCTTCCACC